ATCGTACGTATTTCTTTGTTAAATAAAAGAGACGACCTGAGTTTTATTTCGTTATATCTCTATGTAACTGACTATTTGTTCCATCGTTTTGATTGAGTGATTATTTTGTGTCGGGTGCTTCATTTGCTGTGGTTATTAGTCCCATAAGTATAATGCATATAAGAATGATAGGTAGCGGTGTTCCTTTCCAGTTAGTAAATGAGCGCTGACCTGCATCTCAGCATGCAGGGGTTACCCCCCTTCATCTACCTCTTCCAGCCGAGACAAGCTCTAGGCTCCCGAATTTTCTCTCGGCTCCCTATTTCAGTTGAATGACATGTTACATGTTCTTCGGATAACGCGTGTGACCCGCATTAACAGCTAAAGAACGTCGATACCACTGAGCCCTCTGTATAAGTTTGTCTGTGCATTTGTGTATGTGTGTGTGTGTGTGTGTGTTTGAAAGGGGAACGTAGAGAGAGAAAAGGATAAGGACGAATCTATAGCTCTGTGACCTCTTCGTTAAGGTATTCCTCCGGCATTCACCTGGTTTTGATCGCAGAAACCACGGAAAACTGCCGATGAGAAAAGTCGACCGGTAGAATTCTCTAGGCAGCAGCTGAATCCGACTTAGATAAGTAGCCAGTGACAAAAAACGACCAACGTCGGAAATCAGACCCTTAGGACTCTTGTTCTGAACCATCTCAACCTAAACTCAATTTTCTTCTGTTTATTTATTAATTTTTCAAATATGTTGCATCATTCACTTGTCGATATTTATTTATTATTAGGTAATTATTACACAAATAAATTAAATCACTTGATACTACGATGTATACAAATAACTTGATACTACGATATATACAAATAACTTGATACTCCGTATATGGCTCGCCTGAAAACCTTTCAGCCATTTCAGTACCTACATCCTACCGCGTTCTTAACTTGGTAATTCTTGTATACACCCGCCAAGAGATCTGTCCATTGCATGAAAACGTGAAAAAAGAGACCATAAGCTACCGCTGAGGAAAAATACGCTTTAGGGGAAAATATGCCATCAGAAGACGAGTACATGATAATCTAACAATATTCTTCTTAACTATTTATTTGCTGGCGGGGACGTCACGCATTCTCCTTCCAGCCTTTGGCCTCTTGAGCTCCTGAAATCAAACGGCGCCACAGAAGTTCTCCTCTGCGCTTGCTTTTTGAACACCTACTCTCATTTGCCTCCTAATGTGATGTTTCTATTATTTGATAGTTTATTTATTTTATGTTTAATGATTTACTTATTTATTTACTTATTAATGACATTTTGGTACGCATTTACTAACTTAATTATTCATTGTTTACATATTAACTTAATAACTTCCTCTCCAGTCTAGGCTCCGCTCTTAATAACCAGCGCAGTCCCTCTATCTACTTTCCGTTTCCCTAATGGTTCGAACCTTCCATAGACATGATCCTACTTATTTCATGAATTCAGGCGTATCATTACCCAATATATTCTGTGTTCTGGGCGAATGTTGAATGTTCCGGGCGTTGGGGGTGTACTTTTCCACGCAAAGGAGGCAGACAATTTATTTTCCTTGCCGATCCGGTGGCCCAGATCGCACCGTTACTAGCAATAGTGGTCGCTAATGACCTAGAAGTTGATGTGACCTTAAAAAAAAAATTTTCCTTCCTTGCTCGAGCGAAAAAGTTCCTGGTCTCCGCGCATGCGCCCTGGCAGCGAGCTGTGACCGTGTGCAGGGCCGCCGGGCGCCGCGGCGGGTGCGAGTGACCGCGTTGCAGGGACGGCGACGGATGGGAGCGTATTCATGTATGCGGGCGGCGTTGCATGGGCGATGAGGCGGTCTAGCTCGCCCTCCGGACCACCGGACGCTCCACCCCCCCTCGTCTCCCCCTGCACAGGTCGCAAGGCCTGTGGCTCGTAGTGGAGGAGGTAACGTCCACCCGGATCTGAATTACTTGGCGGCACTCACGTCGTTAGCCTCAAGGTAGCGGCAGTGAGTAGGCGGTGCTAAGCTCTGTGTTTCTAGGTTTGGCTGGTGACCCACCAGTTTAGCCTCTAGCTCGCCGACCTTTTGGAGGGATTGGGCGGAGTGCCGCTTTGGTTCCTACATATAAAAGTCCTGATGGGGAACATGAACCCCCCTGTGAGTTTTGCCTAGGTATCTGTGACACTCACGTCGTTAGCCTCAAGGCGGAGGCAGTGAGTAGGCGGTGCTAAGTTGTGTGTTACTAGGCTTAACTGGTACCCCACCAGTTTAGCATCTAGCTTGTCGACCCTTGGACGGGATTGGGCGAAGGGTAACTTCGTAATGCTCCGGATCTCACGTATAGAAGATCTGACGGGGAACATAAACCACCTGTCAGGTTTGCTTAGGTATCTCTGACTGTCATGTCGGAGGTCATGCTGGAGGCTCTCGTGACTCAAGTCGCGAAGTCGCTTGCTACTCACTACTGAGGTTCCGGTTCGATTCCCGTAGAATCCACGTAGAACTTTATGTGAAATTTGTTACGGCAGAACGAGTTTGACATGGCAGGGGATATTCCAACTCCTTTGAAACGTCTTAAACCTTACCCCTATCCTTATTCCTTCGTAATTCTTGCCGCAGGGTAAAGACCCAGGAGCGCGTAAGAGAGAAGCGCGTACGCGGAGATACTATCTGGCCGTTCTCTTGACAAGTGACTGAGACGAGACGTGGCGGAACACGTAATCAATGGAGGATTACTCCAGCGCAGCAATTTAAGGAGGATTACTCCAAAACGCGCGAAGCGCTCAATGCCCCCCAAAGGGTTTGGACACGCACTGCGTCTAAATTGGCAACAAATTAAAAAAAGTGGCAGTGAGGAGACGGATTGGGGGCCCCAAGCTCCCCGGGCCTTAGTTCGGGTGGATCCTCGTTGAGCACTTAGTATCGTCGTGGCAGTGACCTGATACTCTGTGCACAGAGGAGGGACGTGTCCCGGTGCATTGTTTCGACTCCAGTACCGGCCTGGAAAGCCAGTAGCTGTGGGGGCCCTAACGTAGCATAAAATTTGCTGGGAGTTTCCGAGAGGGATACATGCGTTTCGGCGGGATTCAGATACCAATAGCCGAACGCGAACGTGTTTGCCGCGAGGAATGCGAATAAAGGCCAAAAGCCTTGGTTTCCACTCCGGAGATTTATCCTCCCGCTAAAAAATCAATGAAGTATGGGGTAGTAGCCCACGCGGGGTTAACTCCCCCCCGTCTTCCCCTTCCGTCCATCCCCTTCCTGCCCTACCCTGTCGCTCACCCCCGCGCCTCGCCAGTGCTTCACCCCCTCCCCCATACTTCGCCAGCGTTTCGGAATAGAACTAAAGGAAAGAAGATAACTAAAAGTAGAAATAAAAAAATAAAATAAAACTTGGTATGTGCCCGGTACGCAAGTACTCGGGAACTCTGTTCTTATCTGCCCTAAGATATGCCAATTTGCCATAATCATAGAATGTGAAAAAGATATTTGCTAAATCATTAAATAACATTATTAACCAATTGGAGTAAGTATGCGTTTATGTAGAATTCAGTAGTATTTATTATTACTTTTTCAAAACAGAAAAAAGAAATAAATTAATAAAGATGATCCTAGCAAGTAGACATGTGTTCTGTGATTAGTTTTCTAAAGAATGTTCTGAGCAGGTTTTCCTTTAAATAATAAAAACCAGGGATCATGCATATGTTGGCGTATTTGGTGCGAATAACTTAGGGTGCCATTCATCCTCCGTAAGACGAGCAGCAAATAAGCAGAGAGCAGCAGCAGTGAAATATGTGGCGCAATAGTTTTGCGGCGGGGCGACAGATGAGACCTGCTATTTTTAGCAGCGCTCACACTTTGCAAAGACCTACTTATGCGGCGCTGTCTGTTTTGAATGTAAAATCACCCGGTTCTGCAAGTTGGCATCGCCTCGGGAGCAACTGGAACTTTGTTGGTCGTGTCATGTGCAGATACATCTCTTTCACTGTTGTTTCATGTGTACGACACGTTCAGAACACGAGTGTGTACAGATTTGTACCTACTATGTCATTCTTATTCTCTAGAAATGGATTCTTGCCACTTCTTATGGACAGTTTTGCATTTCTTGTATTATTTCGGTGATGATGACAAACGAAGGGACATTAAATACTGCACGCGAATGGATAAGTGAATATACGAGAATGCTCAGAGAATACTGGAGAATGTCAAAATCTCTTGCGGTCATCTGCATGCAAATTGAAAATAAAAAAAGAATTAATATGGTAAAATTTATAGGCCAAATATACACAGTTTAATTCATTGTTATATTTATATTTTATTTCATTATTTGGTGTACAGTACTTATCAGTAAGCATTATCCATAAAGAAGATGATCAAACTTTAACACACTAATTAATATTTGTTTATAAAAATAACTTTTGAACTTTGCAATGATTTCAAAGTAGATAAGCATAAAAATAGGAGCGGCTTATTAATAGACAATCGGACACAAATCAATACGAAAGTCTGAAGAAACAAATGGTATACTCTTCATGTGAGTGAGCTAATTCGCAAACACTTTTATGCAAACATTTCGATCTGTGATCGTATAATAATTTATTTTCATATTTTTGTCAACTTATAAAGAAGCAAGCAACTTGATTTAATTCCAGAGAATCTTCAGAGAGAATGTGATATCACTTTCCCATTACGGGTTTGACGTGATGTTAAACTATACGAGTTTTGAAATGAACAACAACGTTTACGAACAAAGTTATTCTCGTAGAAAAACATGAATTAAAAGTGTTATGAATAGAAAAACTTGCATTGTCTCTCCCAACACAGTTTTTGTTGGTGAACAAGACAATGCTAACTCTTTCTTAACACCTCTCGCAACAACTCAAATTAATCTGTCAAAGTGTTTCGTAGAATAGCCACTAAATGAACTCAGTTAATGGTTTATAATACACAATGATTTGAACAGTGTTTGAAACAGAATGTTTGTGAAAATCAGCCTTAAATTTCATCTGTCTTTGCTTTCAGGATATTCTATTGGGGGTGACTCACCGCAAACCTTCTCAAGTGTGGAACTAACCCTTCATACGAAGGATGAGGCGACGTAGGAGTCTCCTGCTGGCCTTCTGTGTTTCCCCGGTGCCGAACAGGTATGTCGCCAGATATCGATCGCATATGTAGCAGCTTGGTCGAACCGGACGCAGGGCGACCGAGTTCATTAATTATTCTTTAGCGCCGCCGTTAAATGTCGATCTCCCAAGAAGCTTCATCAGCGGAAAGTCTCCGCTCGGTTTATAGTATCATGTGTCACGTGCCCAGCACGGCTGGCTGACCTGTTGCGGGAAATCCTGGCGCCTCACACGTCTCGTTGGCAGCCCGGATGTCCGGGACAATAGATACGATGGGTCAGCATTAAATACAGGGACATTGTATCTATTGTCCCAGACATGTGTTTGGCGTTCGTGTTCGACATAATCGAAACGTTCTTGTTAGGTACAAACGACACGTTTGTGTTCGGTACAAATGACACATCGGTATAAACGACACGTTCGTGTTCGACACAATCGACACGTTCGTGTCGAACACAAAAGACACGTTCGTGTCAGACACAAACGACACGATCGTGTTCAACACATCGACGTTGTGTTTATGTTCGACATATGGATATGAGTGGTCGTAAATTTCCTTCTGATGAAAGTGATTTAATTCAATATCTACAATTGTAATTCAGCGTTAACAACGTATTTTCAAGCCCGCTTCTGAAATCGATCTTTTTTTAGTCTTTCACGATATATTAGTGATGTAAATCTGTTTATACATTAGTGAATAGTTTATATATTCGTTTTTTACTCGTAACATCAAAGAATGGAATTATTGAATTTTTAAATAGTTATGTACTGGCAGGAGAGAAATAGTTAAACCAGAAGGACAGAAGTGTCGGCTATTTGAAAACAAGGAAGAAAGAGCTCCTAAATGATCATGATTACGGATAAATATTGCTTTCGATACAGTTAAATGCAAAGAATAGCTAGGTTTTATTATAATTAAAGATGTTGTCATTGCCAACAATGTTTTTTAATTCAAAAGCAGCTTTCGATGG